CGTAAGCACCCAGGCCGGTCTCGTGCATAGTCACTTCCTCGTAGTAAGACCTTGTAATTGATGTCGTTTTACAAACATTAAAGTTTGTAAAACGTTATCAGGCTAAGTTGTAAAACATTAAACGATAAACTTTTATATTTGTGAAACGATATGAAGCTATCGCAACCTGCAGTTCAGTTTAGATCGTGAAAATTTCTTCCCTTTTGTTATTTCACGATCTAAACTGGACTGCAGGTACAATTAGTTGATAAATAAAATATTAGAACCCCCCAGCGGGGCACTGTTGGACAACGAGGGATCTCGCAGACACATTGTAGGATGCGTGCTTCTTAACATTAAGTTGCTTGCGTTTAGCTTTAGTTAATCACAAGATAGTTAATATCTGTAAATACAATGTAAGCCCATTCTATTAAATTACCGTTAATGCTATAATATACGCGAAACAATGTTTATATTTTTTTAAATATGTAAAATATTTTAAGTATTGTAACATTATTACAATTATTTTCAATTTGAACTTTGATTTGTATTTTAATATATTGTGCTTTGGATTACTTTCCATAGTTTTTTTCTTAAAATTCTTTATTAGTAGTTATTATAGAGATTGTTCGGAAATTATAGGTTGATTTCTTTTATGATAATGTATAATGCATTTGTAAATATTGTCGAAGACCGTAGATTTTAGATTTTGATGTATATTTCAAACATATGACTTGATAAATTCCCTAAGTATATTTCAATAAATAAAGCATACCATTATTAGTAATAATTTTATCGTTTTCAACGAAAAACCAATCGATAAATTCGTAAAACACGAGTAAGGCTCTTTCTGACGCACACATTAGTACATGATGGAATAATTTTAGGTAACTAATCACGTGTTTTGGAAGACAGGAGATTTTGAGGATTTGGAGATACAATTGAACATTTTGCTTATATCATTTTACTTGGTATAGTCACAGACGATTTGTAGTATTGAAAGTTTGACAACACTGCAATGGTTCTCAAAATTATTATTAGCTCCCCAACTCAACGTTGTCTGAACGTAGAGTGCGCTAAAAAACCTGTGATTTTTGACTATGTCGTTATTTCAGGTCATGAGAAACGAAATCGTAAGATTCTTGGTTTATTCGTATATCTCGTCGGTGAGTGCGCAATGATTTTTTACCATGTCTGTATTTCAGAACGTAACAGAATGCTGTTCAGTCTGACCTATGCAAATACCAATTTATGTACTTATAATTGTATATTCGTAACTTTTATGAGGAAAATAGAGTGCAACCGTATTGGCGATTACTGACAGTGTTAATTAGATGAAAAACTTCTATTAGAAATAAAATTTCAACGATAATAATCAATTCAAAAACGAAAAGTTTGATCTTGTCATATTTTTTATATAATGTAAAGAATGAAATTAAATATTCTATCACATATAAAGTCACTTACATTCTTTGCTTTTGAAGCACCGCTTGCTCCTTTTCAGAGAATGAAAGGATGTAGAAATCATGTAGTATCTTTAATAGAACATATGAAATGTTAAATGTTTTTATTTCAAAAATTAATAATATTTTAGGAAAAATACAAGGAACAAAATAAAAATTGATTATAGGACATCACAGAAAAGAAATAAAATACAATGATCATATTAAGAAAATAAAGTATGTAGTTAGTTGATGTAATAAAGACTTCAGTCTTTGATCGTTCGTTACAGAGCGTACAGATATAGATATGTTTCGCGCCATACTTGAATGATCACATATGGTGCCCTTTTTCATTTACAATTGCGTAATATTCAAACAATGTGACATACAAACCGTATTCAATTCTATCCATTCTAATACCTTTTCCCAAAAATTATTAATGATATAAATATTCCTTGTAATCCAGTATAAAAAAAGATAAACACATAAGAACACATCTTCATTAAAGTAAATCAAATATTACCGTAACGGTTCTATAAATAAACCACTAATTTTATTTATTTTGAGATAAATGTATAAAAATGTACAAATTAAATAAAATACTAATCAGAATCAAATGCTGTTCTAAAAGCTTACAATACAAACTATAATATGTATTATAATACAAACTGCTACGTAATGTGACGACCAGAAAGACGATCAAAGGAAAACGAATAATTTTCTGATATAAGGAATATTTTATAAATTACTGAATAAGAACGTAAGATTGATAAACGGAGTTGATAGTGATGTGAATGTAAACAACAAAAGGTTAACAGTGGACGTAGTTAAACACATACGCTGGCGATACATTTTCACGCCACGATAATTAGCAATGAACTAAACTCTCCGCGCCCAACAGGTTCCAATTATGAACTAATTTGGGGAGAGGAGGGTTGCGCACACGTGTGGAACTACAAATGGAGACACATAGAGAATTTTGCTAATTTCCAGTATAAATCAAAATGATTCTAAAAACTAGTAAATCATGTACTGCATATACGTATTCGATAATATTTACTCTTACTTTCTCATGATAATTTAATTTGAATGAAATTAATTAAATTAACAAGTGCAAAATATAACAAAATATGTTTCTTTTTAACATTTTATACAATTATACTTTTTTAGTGAAAAATTTTAATTGTATATTATATAAATTTTACAAAACATTCCATACTTTGTATGCAAGTGTTTGCTCACTATTTAAATACTTGATTGACACTACACGTTGTTAGAAAATGAAAAATTTGATTTTTTCATTTGTAGGAGTATATTAGTTTCATCAATTCGCCACAATATGGCGGTGTGCATAAATCGATAAAATATTCATATGTGAAGAAAACTAATTGAGAGAATTTTGTTACAAATTCTTGTAATTGTATCCTAAAAATTAGATTCTCAATTTTCTTTTTGTGTTCCAAATGCAACAAGTACGTCACATTCTAATTTTTTTTCCTTGACCGCCACTTTTTTAATAGTCGCAACTGTAAACCGCTAAATTACACAAGAATTTGAATATTTTGTAGATACATGAAAACTTTTTCTAATTTTTCGTTTTAGTGCTTTCCCTTCATAAGCTAATTGATCAGTATGGAAGCTTTTTCCAAAGCTCAGGGCAAAATTTTTAGTATGTGGAGAAAAATGCACGAATCGTTTTTAAAAATACATTTTATGAATATTTACATTTTTAATCAGATTTTTCTTCGTCCGAAGTTCATAACATCATTCCAACATTTTACAGTATACGGAATATTGAAACAATGGAAATATGATCTTTCATACAAAAAAAATTGCTCTTAGAATATGAACTAGAATATGCTCTTGGAATTATCTTAAAAATCGAAGAGAAAAAATAGAGAAATTAAAGATCTTTTGTTAATAGCATTAAAAGTATTATCTCTTCATTGTTTCATTCAATCCAAGCTTCACAAAACTTCGCTATAATATAATTTGTAACACTTTATAAATAATACATACGTTTATAGAAAATGAATGTAGTGCTGAATTACGATATAAGACCTTATTTATTGGCTGTACGCTAATGGCATTGAACTTACTATATATATTTAATGAAATGAACAACAATTTAGGAGGTAAACCTTAATAAAAATCATATATCTCAAGAACCATATATACTAAGTCTCGGATAAAATCCGAGATACTCGGAGTCCTCCAATACTTTGTCAACGTGCAGTGGTGAATGCCGTAATGTAGGATTACTTTCTAGATTTTCTCTGAGAACTGATTCTAAATCTAGAACCACAAAGGACTTTGATGTGCTCAATAGAGACGGAGGTGTCCGAATGTATATCATACTGATTGGTATCTGAATAGGTAGGTGGTTGATTCGTATTCACAATATTGATCGGTTGATTTGTTGACCGGTTGGATTGAGCAAGGTAGGATTTTGAATTAGTGGCGGATCCGGCAACAAATTCGACGGAACTTTATTGTTGTTAGTTTGCGACAAGCGATTATTTACCGTGACGATATTTTGGTTATGCGTGATTGATTCCACTTCCATAGGCTCTGGTCGTCCAAAAGATGCTATGCCCATAGTTCTTCGCTAACCGTCAACAGAAGCAATAGCTGAAGGAGGAAGATAGACTGTAAAGCTGCGCATTCCTTGTTCAGCTTCATTTCCTTTCCTGAAAAAGAAAAAAGGTAAAATTAAGGCTGCTGTTACTTACAGACACATTCTAGAATTTTTATGAATATAATTATCCGCATTTTCCGAGACATGAACATCAATTTCTAATCCTGATAGCGTTTTCAATTGGCCGATATCAACTTTTACACCAAAGCTGGAAAAAAGCGATTAACAACTTGCATATGTTTCTCTATTAAATGTTTTACCTTTTCCACTTTCCCTTTGTGTCTACGTTTTTCTTCGAGGAATTTCTAAGTCTTTCTGTGATCTTCTCCTGTCAGAATGTACAGCAAATCATCGACCATAGTTAACATATAATCACTGTATTTAGCAAAGTCTAATATGGATTCTGTGTATCCTACAGCAATTTCATAGCCGTATATCTGATACACCAAGTCTGTTTCTTCTTTCGAGAGATTGGTGAATGTAGAATCGTATCTTGGGGTATAAGATTCGAAGGCCCGTAATATTATAATTATTACTATTAATATTAGTATAAAATGTTTTACTGGTTTCGACATACTTCTTCTATCTTTTCGGAATCCTGCTAATGCTCCAGTACCGTGGTTCAATTTACCTATAAGCTGCACCAACGAGACTGGTCTTTGATTAGCTTCTGAAACTACGCCGACTCGCGTAACTATGATCTGTAAACTGGTAGTCCCATCTTTCCTTTGTCGAATGAAACCCATTTTAGAATTCAACGTTTTCAACGTTAACTAATTCGATGCTGCTTTGGTCCCTCAAACTTGCTTTAAGAATTCCTTCGGCGTCATACCATCCGGAATGGCTTCAAATTTACCTATATTTGCTAACCTCAATTTCCTTTTGTTCTCTTTTCTAAGTTCTTCTGCCTCTCCATTACGCTCTTCCTGTTTCTGTTTTCATTCGACTTGCTTCTCTGTTACTGGAATGTCTGCATTACTAAGATCTTCCGTACATAATTCAAGTCCTTCTTTCAATATGTCCTGCATTTAAGTTAATACAGGTCTTATTTGTGGAAGCTTTTCTGGTATAACCATTTTTGGGCCAACAGGCAATAATCCCTTTGCTGCCTTCTAATAAATGGTATTTGGATAATTGTACGTGGTGGCGTTGTCACATATAGATTTGAAGTCTTCTGCACATAAATTTCAATTTCTATAGCTATTATCATCTATTTTCTGCTTTATGGTACTGAAATTGGTAGGATTAGTAGTGATCAGAGGGTATCCGAGTGCAATGCTATCTGTAACTGGAAAAGAATTGTTGTGGATCACGTTTCTCCATTGATTAAAGAAGGTGTTCCAATAATCATTAAAGAGTGTGCGCTCGGCAATTTTCCTAAGCACGCAAGTTCTGGTTTCTCGATTTGGCGAAAGGGAACTGACACTATGGCTAGTGACACCGACTCTGTGTTCTTCAGTAGACGGTGATCTCGGTGGTAACAAATGACGATTGGATATCTTTTTAGGGATTTCGTTTAAACTTTAATCAGCATCTCTATCAATTCTTGGCTAGATTCCTCTCTTCTCCTCTTTTATCCTTGTGATGATGCTTGTGACATTTAACCTTTTTTTTCTGTTTCTTTTTAAGTTCCTTGTGTCCCACATATCTGTCGTATTCAGATTGCGTTACAGGAGAGTTGAAACCCAACTGTTGTTGATAAGCACCCAAATCTTGGGACAACATTGCTGCCTGACTTGGAGATTCTTTGCCGTATTTAGGTGTCCCAATTCTACCCCCATCATTTAAAATTAGTTTCAAGTTAGGGATTTATATGTGGTCGTAATGTAGCCTTCTGTTCAAGGAAAGAAAGTATATTATTTATAATAAATTAAGTATTTTGCGTGTATTTTGAATGTTAAATATGTATGAAGACATGAGAGCAATAAGCTATGAATAATAACTGAGGCATGCAAAAAAGATATCTTGCAAAAAATTATACAAAGGTGCAGAATAAGAGCATAAGAGCGCTGTAACATAATAATAAACATGGTGGCAAACATTGGATTGCAGAATATTGCAGAATTATAAAGATGTATAATAAGTAAATGTAATTCCGAATTAATGAATATTTACAGGGTAATAACAGAAGGAAAACGGAAATGATAACAGTGATGATAATTATGACGATTTTGATTATGATAATGATTATGATGATAATGAAGAGGATGATGATGATGTTGCTGATAATATTTATGATATAAGAATTATAGTAAAGATGATTTTATTACAAAACAGTGACCTTGTTTTCACATTCAACAAACTGGAAGTGAGATGGTAGTAACTTGACTTAAATTTAACAAGTCTTGAGAGAAGTATGCAATAAAATAATTACTATTGTATAAATCGGTTGAATCTGCAGGAATAATCAACGTAGGAGCATTTTTTGCACTTCAACTAATTGTACTGAACAAAAAAAACTAAAAGTGATTTGGATATTCGAGTAATTTTGGAAGCACAGTTAGTTGAAGTGCAACTAGCCTAATTAATAGCAAGAGAAGAATGAAGATCTATGCACCAAGAAAACGTCAATGGTTTTACAGTTTATCGGATTTTTGTTAAAATTGATACATGATGATTGCTTGATACATCATGATTGCTTGTTTCGAAATATCGAATGTTCAAGTAAATATAAATAATTGAAAATCATGCGTTTACGTATTCCGTGGGCGCATATACAGAGACTCCGCGATGCAACAGTTTGGCATCAACGCCATTTTCAGTTTTCCAGCTCTGAAACCATGGCTGCGTAATCATTTTACTTTGTAAACATGCATGTAAAAAAACACAGGAAGCTGGCTCGTTTTCACCAATGATACCATACAAGTTACAAATATCAAGACGACAAATTATCTAGGGGATTTCATTTCACGAGCGCGAAATTATCGAAGAGAATGGTACGTCGTAGGGCATAGAATTGATTGTCTTATATTAATCTACGCACAACGGGGTTCGATATGAACGCCATTTCTTTGTATATAAATACCATCTAATACTTCTTATCGAGCATGAAATATTGAGGTTGACACGTGTCCATTCAAAATATTCTACATTTATTCCTTCAATATATCATATCG